TCAATATATTCCCCTTGTCTTCTTTTCTCCTAGAAAATGTACAAATTCCGAATGCAAAGGAAATCAAAAGAGGAACTCCTTCTTTCGCCAGGACATTGAAGGGCTCTGTGCTGTGTTCTATTTGCTGTGTGCTGCGATGATTGTGGCTGGCGGAGTGTGTCACATTTGTGGCAGAGTGTGTAGACTCCTGGCTACGGCAAACCAAACACACATGCCACAACAAGAAGAGGAGGCTGCCGATTGAATAACAACAATGGGGGCGGAATACTCATCACACCAGGACTCTTCAGCACTTCAGCACTCAACAAGGACGAGGGGGACTCTTGGCAGTGTCAAAACAAGGTAGTGCTTCCTTTTGGGTGATCTCTGGAGTTGGAGGAGAATCGCATCTCCGCATTGATTCCAGGCAATAAAACTATTCGTAAATCGGCTACCAACTTGAGCATTAGCATAGTCCTCTCTTTCCTAGTCATCCTCGTCCTGGTCCCATCCCCCAGTGTCCTTGCTGCCTCGTAAGAATTCGATAAGTTTGCAAGTGAAGGTAGAGCGTAAAGGTAAAAGGCAGGGCAAGGTAACTTTGCAAAAATTGTGCGCATATTAAAATTCTTGGTGAAAGCTTTTGACATAAATTAAAACTTTTATCAGGAGTGCAGGGTATGCCTGTGTTTTCTCTGCACCTCGTTTTCTTTTTCTTGTTTTCTTTTTATCAGCGGAAAGAGGCCAAGAAAAACGTCTGAAAAGTGGGAGCATGTGTGGGCCAGGTCTATTCTCTGGCCTATTGTCGCTTTGATTCTATAAGAAGCTAATTGATTGGAGCTCCCGGTTCTTGCCGCTGCTCCTTCTTTTTCGCTAGACTGACACATCGAAGGCTGATTTTGCACAACTTTTTTAATTAATTTTTCGTGGAGTAGGGAGGAAGGAAGGAAAGGGCAGCCAACAAATTTCCATGGAAAACTTTTGCCTAAAAGGCATACGCATAGATAGATGGCTGGAACTGGGTAGCATTAAAAATGAATTTCACTTCATTGCCGATGGCTCAAAGACAACATTTTTGGCGTTAAAATTATTTATGGGCTTACTGTGCGTAACGTGTCGATGTCTTCGTCTTCGTCTTCGTCTTCGTCTCTGACTTTGTATCCTGGCAAAGGAGGAGGTGTTCGGTGTCGCTGTCCTACGTGATTGTCGGTACGACTGATTTTTGTGCCTGTGACAAAACTTTTTCAATAATGTATAAATCAAACTGTCATAAAGTCGCAGGATCGCAGCATAGCAGCGCAGCAGCATCGCAGATTGCGAAATCGCCAGGACACCCACACTTTTTGCTCTCTCTCTCTTCTCTCTCCCTGTTAAATGTCAAAAATGCCTTTTTCTGGTGACATTTTCTTAGACAATTTAAGTTGCCATTGTGTCGCCCTTGCCCTGATGTGCATTTAATATGTGTCCCCCTTCCCGTTCCATACCCATGCCTCTCTCTCTGTGTGTGTGTGGGACAGACAACGTTTGGTCCTCGTAACCACCCCCGCAGATGTTACCTGTCGTCTGTGCCCATCCAAGGTAAGCGTAAGCGTTTTTCACATTCAGGGAAATATGTCACAAAATTTATTGCAAAATAATTTTGCCCGTAATTCTTTTGGGTTCTTCTTTTCGAGTGGCGAGCAGCAACTCGCTGGTAGGTCCACTCGCTGTCGCTAGTCACTCGCCACTTAGGCAGCGTTTAAGTCATAGAAAAAGTGCCATAGAGCCTCTTCCTCCTTGCCCCTTCCTTGCTGCATATTAAAATATTAAAAATTCCTTTTATATCCTTCCAGAAAAATGTTGTCTCCTGCCCCCTTCCTTGCTGCTTGAAACTTTTTTTTTTTTGCGAAAAGTACAAAAATCGTTCAAGTTTTAGGGAACAGACTTTACTTTGATGCGGAAATAAGCAACAATTTTTCATAAGATGCCAGAATTTGGCAATATTAGAACAGTTTTAAATCAATTTTCAGAGCTAAGAATGATCTTACGGTATGTTAACAAACAGAGTTGCTGTTAACAGCGGCTTGTTAACTTTCGGTTAGTTAACAGTGAGGCTTCCAGGAGGCGACGCTGGAATGAGAGCTGTTATGCGCAATGGCAACCAATTTAAGTTGCGGTGCAATTAAATATCGTAAAAGGAACGTAAGCAAATGTTTGTGTTTGTGCGTGTTTCACAACGTTTGAATGCGAAATATTTTTTTTAACAACTACAAACAGTCGTTGCTTGCATACATTTAAGCGGGGAAAAATGCAAATACAATAAAAAAAAGCAGCAACAAAAATGCCGTCAAAAGCGTGCCATTGCCAATACATGTGTGTGAGTGTGTGTGAGTGTATGAGTGTGCTTCTGTCTGGCAACACTGCCAGCAATGCTGTGGGGGGAAGAAGCAGAAGCAAAAGCAGGAAGCAAGAGGGAAAAGCGCGAAAAGCGTAGGAGAAATCGGAGGAAAAATGGAGGCGGCTGGAGGAGGAGTCTGGGGTTCTGATTGATCCTGCGTGTGCGTGTTTAAACAAAAATTTCGCTATGTAAATCGGCAAACACACGCACACCCTGGGCACGCGGCAATTCTCATTTACAAAGTGTTTTTTTTTTCCATCCTCAGTCCCAATGTTCATTCCTTGTTTGCAAATGTTTTAATTGAATTCGAGTGGGAGGCCAATGCCGATGCACTAAATGTTTAATCGAGCTGATAATTACCCGACCTTGTCCCAGGTTTGGCATACGAATCAACAGTGATGCGTACGTTCCAGTCCCAGTTCCAGTTCCAGTCCCTATTCCAGTCCCTGTTCCAGTCCCTGTTCCAGTCCCTGTTCCAGTCCCTGTTCCAGTCCCTGTTCCAGTCCCTGTTCCAGTCCCTGTTCCAGTCCCTGTTCCAGTCCCTGTTCCAGTCCCTGTTCCAGTCCCTGTTCCAGTCCCTGTTCCAGTCCCTGTTCCAGTCCCAGTTCCAGTCCCAGTTCCAGTTCCAGTTCGAGTCCCTATTCCAGTCCCTATTCCAGTCCCTGTTCCAGTCCCTATTCCAGTCCCTGTCCCTGTTCCAGTCCCTTTCCCTCTTACATCCAGTGAGTATCGATGATGAGAGGTCTCCGTGAGCGGAAATTCCTACTCCCCGGGTCAAGTCAACGCCTTCGAAGCGTTTTTTTCCCAATGATTTATGAACTAATTTAGCGGCAATATTATTTATGCCAGGCCAGACTGCAGCAGGAGGAGGAGGAGCAACAGCACCAGCGGAAGCCCGTCTGTCCGGCCAGGATAATGCTCGAAAATGCTGCCACAATGTTAAGCGCGTCGGCCAAGGACCAACAACCAAACATTGAAGACGCCATCGACTGCAGCAGACACAACAAAGTGGAGTTCCAAAGAAGAGGGACAGGAGCAGAAAGGAGCAGGAGCAGGAGCAGGGAGGACCAAAAGGAGCTCTAGCAGCAACAATGGGTAAGTCGAGAACTTTAAGAAATTTACACCATCAGCAGATAAGAGTCATGCCCAGTAGGCGCCACCGCCGCCAGATCACGCAGAGGCCAGGCGCAGGATGCACCACCGGAAGGGAAGGAGGGGATGACTTGGGTTCCATGGTTCGGGGGTGCTCCTCCTTCGCTACTTCGATGGCAAGAAGTTCAAACTAAGCTAGGGAAATTTCTGCAGTGCCGGCACTTTTTCCAGCGCCCTGTGTTTGCAGCAAACAATCTGTTTCCCGGCATCAACTTTTGCTAGAAAAATTGAAACAAGCTGAACGAACACCAGGCCAGGAAAGGCCAAGCCCAAGCCCAAGCCCACACCCAACCCATGGAGAGGCAGTCATCTAGAAGAGAGGAATATCTACTGCACCCTGTCAGGATGCAGGGTGCACTGGGCTAGGGGTGGTGCAACTTGTGGCTGAAGCATGTATCATATTTAGACACGGGAAAGACAGAAATATAAACTTATAAAGACTCTGGAAGGCGGAGGGGAAAATGGTGCTGACCGAATACCGCTGGATCCCTCTACGCCGAAAAAATGAGAAACATGTACATAGACTTTGCGGAGGCAAGCACAAAAACCATATTTGGCAACACTGCCAGTTGAGGAGCAGCAGTTGAAAGGACTTTACAGCGGCGCCCAAACTGATGAATTATGGCCAAAGTTATCGGCTGAAGTCGGTGGAGGGACCCTCCCCCCTTGTAGGCCGCCGCTTTTTGCAATGTTTTGCTACACTGCGTGGCAAACTACTGATAATAAGATATACTTGCCATTCGGACAGGCCCCGGGCCAACGTCGGAAGTCTACTAAATAACAACTTGTACGGCCCAGCAGCGTGTGCTGGCAGCACAAAATAAAAATACAAAAATGAAGGGAAGCAAAGAATAAAAGGGCAACTTAAATAAGTTTAATTGTACGAGACGGAAGTCGAAACTTTGCCATTTGGCTTGGTTGACTTCAGTTCAGTTGGCCGCGATTCTCGTCCTGCCTGCCTCTTTTGTATCCTCTCCAGTCCCGACCTGACCTCCTATTCCTCACAGTGTTCAAGTGCAATATGATAATAGGGGTAGCAGAATTTTCAATTTCTCTACAAGTTTGCTATTGTAACAATTATAAACCTCTTCGGCAGAGTAGAGTCATTTTTAAAGCAGTATTTGCGAGTCTTTGCCTGCCCTGCACTAGCATTATTAAACATAAGAGTGTATGTATTTTTTAAGAGAGAGAAAGGAAGATGAGAAAGCCCAGTAATTGTTGCCTGAATATCATGGCTTTATTACCTTTAAGTTTCTGTTTTCAAGAGCCAAGTTTCTCTTAAGGAGTTTTCCGAAAGCAGCCTTTGTGATCACCTCATGTTTAAAATTTGTTATATAGTCCAATCTATAGATGGATAGGTGTTTAAGAACGCCAAGTGTGCAGTTTTCTAACACTCTTTCCTAAAAATTAAGTGCCTTTTTAAGTCACCTTTATTTTTCCCAGCGGTCACACTACTGCATTTATTATTAATCTATCGATAATCGAGAGCTCCAAGTGTCATTAGAAGTGTCAGTAATCAAGAACCGAAGGAAAAGAAAAATTTGTGCGACGCAGGGACCATAAAATCGAATTTAAACCTCGAAGATGAGCAATTTGATCAATTTCCTGAATCCCAGACTCAAGACCTCTGTGAAGAGCAACGCCCCCTGTAAGGATGGCTTCACGGCATCTAATCTCATTGCCGACGATGAAGAGCTTCTAAAGCGGGGATTCATGTGTAGCTCCGCCTGCAAGCCACCCGTAGAGGTCATCTTTGACTTTTTCAAGGCCGTGGACATCAGGGCCATTAAGCTCTGGCCCTCGATTGGAACACTGAGCTCCACGGCCTTTGAGTTGCACGTTCGTCAAGATGGAAAGTGGGTGCGAGTGGCATTTGTAAAGGACCTGCCACATGGTCTAGAGTTTGTGACCTTTTGCTACCAGAGCGATGTAAATTCGCAGACCACCTGCAACGCCACCGGGCAGCCTTTGAGCAGGAAAGTTTCCTTCCTAAAGGGAGCTCACAAGATCCTGCCCAGCATCAGCAGTGTCAAGGTGATCATCCGGGCCACCGGAAACTGTCCACCGGTGTTGCGTAAGGTGGAGTTGTGGGGTCTGCCCGCCCGCTTAGTGGACAAGGCCAAAGGCGCAGTCAGTGTTCCCTATGGCCAGCGTGATGATGCCTCTAAGGGAAAATTGGGGCAACGTTCTTCGCCCAGACCCATTCCCCAGTTGAAGAAGCACTCAATGCTGTTCCTGCCCGAGGAATTCCTCGACTCCATCACCTGGGAGCTGATGATTCAACCCACCGTGCTGCCCTCGGGCAAAGTGGTGGACCAGACCACCATCGACAAGCATAATGCGGCGGAGGCCAAGTGGGGTCGCCAGCCATCGGATCCTTTTACGGGTCTCAACTATAATAATGAAAGCAAACCCATTGTTAACCTGGAACTGAAGACGCGCATCGAAGCGTTCCTCTTGAAGTACTCGGGAGACTTTGAGTTGCCGCACTCCCGCGGATCGAAGCGATTGCATCGCCGCACTCATCAGTCGGATCCGATCTGTCCGGCTTCCAGTACATCCATGGTGCCCACTAAGGTCTACAGGATGCAGAAGCTGAAGAGGATGGCCACTGCCAAAGGCACCTCCTTGTCGGCTGCAAGTGGAAAGCAGCCGTCGGCCAAGAAGGCGAAGCTCAGCCACCAGGACACTACCGCCTCAACGTCTTCACCTTCCATGAACCAGACTTTCAAGCAGGTCCTGCTGAAGACTACGATCTCTGGCCAGATGACAGGTAGCTGTATCAACTGCCGTAGTGCTCAGTTTCGCTACAAGATTCGCACCTGTCACCATTTAGTCTGCCAGGATTGTTTGGTCCACCTATTAAAGGAGCAGTTGTGCGTCTGCAAGATCGCCTTCCAGGATGCCGATGTGGACAGGCATCAAAAGCTGTATCGCTAGGGTTACCTCCTGTTTATCCCTATTGTTCAGATTGTAAGTCAGTTTAATGCTTTAGTTTTTTAGAGTTTGTCTTCATCTATTTTATCCTTTAGTTGTATCAAGATTTTGGATTCGAAGTATGGCGATGTTGAAGAAGAAACCAGAAACCAAATGTGTATAAGAAACTCGTTACTGAAAATACGGAAGTATGCATCAGTATCAAGTCACTCTTAAAAACAGAGAACTGATTACGAGAAGAAAAGGGAACGTTCAGAGCCACTTTATTATAAATATGAATACCAATTATACCTAGAATAAAAAGGGACTAATACTTTGCTTGCCATGGGAGGGACTTCTCTTTACCACAACCTATTTTACAATTAGTAGAAAGTGAAAAACTGCTTCTTTGATACAATTTTCTTTAAAAAATATCCTGTGTATTCAATTCTCATTTATAAGCCTGCCCCTCACTGTTAAGGCAATTATATTTGGCAATGAAAATTGAATTCAATTAAAGTCTAGTGGCAAAAGGGACCCCCTAAAAAGTGCACTCACCGGTGGTGTGTGTGGCCTGCCCCAACGATTAGGAGAAACAAAACAAAAACAACCTACGAGGAGGACCAAAAGCGAGTCCCTAATAGGATTTTATTTCGCTGATCCCTGCTCCTGCTCCCGCTCCTGCCACCGAATGGGAATCACGGCCGCCTGCCGATGATTGCCGTCAATTGAATGCCAATTGTTTTTCTTGCCCCGGCGCTTTTTCTTTTGATACATTTTTGGGCCACGTTTAGTTTTTAGCATTGCAAACGTTTCGCTTCGTTTTTGGTTCGATATATGAGTGTGTGTGTGTGTCGGGGAAATCAAACGATTCTCGGCCAGAACAGATCAAGTTGCCAGCATTGGCATTTTCATTTCAACGGGCGTCGTCCTGTCCTCGTCCTGGGACAAAATGTCTGCAGCTAGAAACCGCCGAGGTGGAGAGGAGTGTGTAGTGCAATAAAACCGAATACAGAAAGTAGAAAGTCGTGTTTTGGGCCACTGAAAATTGAAGGAAAAATCGTACAAAATCTTTATTGTCTATGATTGGTACTCCCCTCCCAACCCAACAGGACTCCGTCAATTATGGCAGTATGTCCTGTCATAAAAGAGTTATAACATTGCATTGAATGATGGCTAAGGAAAGTGATTACTTTTGTTTTGAGCTTCGATATTTTTATGACCTCTTGGCAGACCTTTGACTGGTACAGGTGTGCACTTAGGCCCTTGGACATCAGTTACTTTTCTTGGCAAGGATAGCATTTGGCATTGCATTGGTCCTCCTTTGGCAATCCCTTCGATTCCATGGGATTTGGCAGGAGAAGTGTGGAGTACAAATCGCGTTTGTCTCTAATTTACATAAAATGGCAATGCACAAATGCTGCAAATGCACAATATATATGAGTACTTTGACCCGAACTTGCCACGCATTCACTGCACTCCTTATACTCATCTCACACTCTAAATATATATAGATATATATACTATATAGTCATGTCGCCATCTTAGGGTAATTTATACAGCGAGGCAAACCCAAAACGAACCAAAGTTCGCTGGCTAAAAGCGCAATGGCAGCTCTGAGAAGGGAAATTGTACTAGGAAATTTGCCGGAAATTAAAACTTGTGCAAAATAAATCGCCAAACCTCGAAATGCGAACATATACATACATCCATTCACACCCAGGAAAAAGGGATACCAAGGAGAGCAGAGACCAGACACCGGCTGGCGGAAGATCGATGTACTTTTGCGCACAAACTTATGTAGCCTTTAAGGGACCAATTGTCGTAACCCGGATTCCGAATTCCGAATTCCGGGATTCCCCTTGACCCCACCCCCACCGCCAAAATAAAAATCTCTGACCTTTTCCACCGGAAGTAGTAGGCCAAGCACAGTTCAGTGCTTCATTTCGCGCTGGATTTGCCGCTAATGGAGTGACAGTTGGCAAAGAATTATTAGATTTGCACATGCATACGGCAGGATTTTAAATTGGGGGTGTCCGGATGAGAGTGGGAGTGGGGCCAGAAACGTGATTGCCTGGCCAGGATCAACCAAAATACACACACACACACACAAAAAAGGAGAGAGCAAAGCAAGCCACAGTTGAGTGTAAAAGCTAATTTCCTTAATATTCACCAACAATTACATGATAGCTGAAATGTATTCCTGCAAAGTCCTTCCATGCATGTATGTGTTGTTGTTTTAAAATCATGAAGTTTAATTTCCTTAATTTCGGAAAGCAGAGACAGTGATTGAGTGACTGGCCAGTGGATGAATCTATCTATCTATCTATCACCCAGCTCAACTCACAAGCATCTAGGTTTACTGGTATCCTGATATCCTGGTATCCTGATATCCTGATATCCTGGTATCCTGCGAACTAGGCACGCGACACAACAGTGTCAGTGTCTGATTCCGTTTCGGGGCTTTTTTGCCTGACAGCAGGTCATAATGCATGTAACCTCTGCCTTTAATCAACTTTAATTAAAATTGCACACAAAAACCCCGAAAACGACTTGATAAAATGCCATTAACTGGTAGAGAGGAGAGCTCAACTGATGGCGGTTTTATCGCTTCAGAGTTGGTGTGGTGTGGCTTCTGTGCAGAGCTTTTAATTGATAAGTGAGTGTCTGTGTGTGCCATATCCGATGACTCATCCAGCGTGTCCTTCTCTTGAATTACATTCAAAGCGTTCTGCCACTGGCCAGGACTAAAGGAGATCCTCCTTGCCACATTATTTCAGGGCTTATGACCCGGCTCCAAAGCAAGCTCTACGAAATTACGCTCATTTCAAAATTGTTATTGAATCTTTTGGGCAAAGTAAATAATCCTTGTTGAAATGAAGGAGAAATCCCGTTTGCGGCCGCAAGTGGCTTCCAGCAGCCAGGCATTGACTAAACGCTCTGGCATAAGGACTTAACCTCTTAACCCCCACCCCCCAGGACACACACCCACACACACTCTCCTTTGTTGGTGTCTCAAGGAGGAAGGAAACTGGTGATGGTGGTCGTAGTGACGCCCAACTAAATGCTGCCAAATTATACGCAATCATTTTGAGCTTAACTAAAGTGCGGCAAGTCTGCGGCCATGGCAAGGACCTGGCTAAGATGGAAACGGAAAAGAAGGCAGGCTAAAGTCTGAGGGCTGAGGGGTTTCCTGCGGTTCACTCAGACAACAGCGAATTGGTTAGTCGGAATGCCCCTCAGTTTGCCGAAAAAATACGATGACAATGTGTCATCGTAAATTGTTCGTCCTTTGGGGGGGAGTGAGTGTGTCCTTTCAAATTTATACCTTCATATTAAACTGGGCTATTGAGCGGTTCAGGATCCTACTTTCTCTCTCTGCCCAAAAGAAAATACATGCTTTTAATGGTCACTTGTTCGACGTACTTATTTTTACCAAGTTTTCCTTTGAACAAAGACTACATTTTTTGTGATAAGTCAACATTTGCTTTGCTTAGAAGCTGCTAAGTGACCTCGTCTAAACAATTTAAAGGATCTAAGAGAAGGAAGCTATGGCAAAGCTCATGAATAACACAGAAATAAAATTGGTTTAATAACAAAAAGGGAACGAAATTCAAGGGGGAAACTCAACAGAAATTCAACAAAAATTCATCAGAAATTTTGTGGTGTTCTCTGTGCCATGTAAAAGTGTGTGTATTTGTGGGCATAAAATGGCATGGATTAAATGAGACACTTTGCGTGTAGTCTCGTGGCAAAACGTAAAGCGTAAAAAAGGAAATGCCGCTCAATTTGCAGCACAAACAGAACGCAAATCAAATAAAAACGCGACAAAAACTGAAGTAGATCTCAAATGGGAAAGCGGAAAAGCCGGGAATAGCGCCTCACTGAGACATTGTACCGAAAAGCAATGGGGAAATGGGGAAATGGGAAATGGGGTGGTGTCGCCACCATCATCGTCGTCGTCTGCAGTGGTACAATTTATGACAACTTAATTGATTTACTTTACGTACGTGACCAGAAAAATGAATATTGCATTACGTTGGGGATTTTCGTTAGAGTTGCTCGTTTTTTTTTCACTTCCTACCCCCCACCAACCGGAAGTCCTTCTATTTCAACGCTCTCCGCTGTTGGGCAACGCAAACAGTACCAGCATCGCCACCATTTTCATCAACCAGGAGAAGGACTCTTCCATCTCCAAGGCCCAGGACTCTCTGGGTCTCGTTCTTCTGTAGTCTTCGCTTAATGCGCTCAATTAGCAATCTCGCAGGAGGCAGCTTTCGGTACAAGGACGAGTCGAGTGCGAGAGCTGATAGGAGAAGGAAATGGGTGTGGAAATGCTTGGGGATGTGGTGGCACCTAATTTCATTTGTATATTTTCACAGATTTTACTGTTTATTTCCGCATGATGCATGCATGCTTGCATGTTTTCCATAAAAAGTAGGTTGTGAGATGAGGGAATTTAATATTAATAATAATAGAAATTATATGCAGCATTTTCTATGGTAAATTTAATGAAAACTGTATCATTAGAGTCCTGAAAAAATATTATAACTAAGCCTTGAGAGAAGCTCAATTCGAATTATTTAAATCTAGGATTCTTTATTATATCCTCACAATCAAGGAATTAAATTTCAGTTCTTTCAGAGCTCAGAGCTTGCACCAAAACTAAATCTCCTCCTGTGGTTGTATTTATTTATATTCATCAGATTTTCTTCATATGCTAAAGCTGTGCTAATGCAGCCAGAATTTGCTTTAAAATATATATAATACTTAAGATTTAATATATAATCTCTTGCCCACATGGCGGATGAGTAATATTCTACACATAATTTCGGTTGTGTTTTTATTTTCTAAAATACTCTGAATGTTTGTGGTGAAAGCAGGGGGTGACTATTAAAAATAGCATAGTATTTTTTCCCCCTAATTTATTTTAATTTCTTTGCTTAACTAAAGCTTGACCCTGGTGTCATGCTCCTGCGAATGCAAGTAGCCGCTGAGTAACTTCATCCTTGTCGTCCTTGGGAAGGGGCAAAACTTTGGCCGCATGCTAGTTGGGAGTAAGTTAAGCAGACCGGCCAGCGGTTTATCCCATCTTAGTTGCTTTGACCCTTATATATATATTTTTTTTTTTACCAATTTCTTTTCTTTTAACTTGGCTTTCACGGGGGTCGGCAACTTTGCATGAAAATGCGTAACAGTTGGGCCTGAGTAAGAAGGATCCTTGGAACTGGTTTACTCACTAGTGTCCCTTTTTGTGGAGTTACCACTGTGCGAGGGAAAAGTT